AATAATGAATCTTTCCTATTCCATAGGTAGGTCTTCCATGAAATGATGATCAGTGGCTTTTTGGAGGTGAAAACTATTCAGTTACAGCCCTGAATGAATTTTCTATTGAAGCTGTTGAAAACTTCTTTAAGTTATGAAGAATGATGTGAAACCTTCCATGCCTTCATAGTTCTCAATGTAAATTCAGTAAAATATCTGCGATCTTGTTTTGTAGTTGTCAGCGACCAACCCTTACTATTCTTTAATTATTTTGGATTTTAATGAAATGGCATTCATAATTCATTGATACAGCATATATTTAAGCATCTTAAACATACAGTGTTTTCTTTTTTTAAAATAAATATAAAAAATGCTGTTTTGAACACACAGAGTTACTCTTTGATTTTTTTTTTTTTTTTTTTTTTTTTTAAGGATAAACTTTAGTTAAGGTACTTTATATGTTTTAGAACAGACATACTGTTTGGTTTCCATAAGAGTTTAATTTTCAGAAAGTTGGACCAAGAGAAAAGAGACAGACAATGTGGAATTTGACATTTATATTAAAAAATGATATAAAAAGAAATACAAGGGATTCAAACAGCTGAGGAATTGACTCCTACCCATACACATATGAAAGGGGTTTTAGCTTTATGGAGTCATTGTAGCATTTTTCACGCCCAGTCATTGGTCTAAAAGGATGCTTCCAACCAGGACCCCTTGCTTTCAGATATCATATGCGTAACCCAATATGTCACCCATCTGGCATTCAGAATTTGGCATGCATTTGTGCTCCCACTGTTTTCAGCTCATTTTTTGAGCTGGCGCATCTTCCAGCCGAGTAACAATATCTGTAACGCACTTCCGTGCAGAATGCTAATGCAATACAAATTGCCTGGAAAAGGTAGATGAGAATAGTGGGACTGCACAGATGCAAAGATTAGAAATCCAGAGATGAAAATAAATACATTTCTTTCTCTTTAGTTTGTCCCCAAAGAGAAAAATGAGCCAACTGGCTTGAAACCCAAAAAAGATTAATTCCCCCTGCAACCTCATTCCATCCTAAGCATTTTTCCTGAATTGTCAGAGTCATTTCCTTCCTCTATTCCCATCCTAAATGTCTCTTAGTCAAATATGATTTTGCTATTATTACTACTTGTATTACAGGAGGACTAAGTCACAGCTCATGACCTTCAGATAATGCCAATGTCAGTAAAATACTGAGGATCAATGTTAGATTTTGTCTTTTGGGACTGAGCCTACCGAGTCTAGAAATAGAAATAGATAAGCAAAGCATCATTCTTTATTTCAGGGCTTCTTCTGGTCACTTCTGAGGGCCAAGATTTACCCCTTTTTCCCCTCCTTGATATACTACTGCTGTATTTGTTCTTTAGTCTTCTTGTGTATATGTTTTTTTTCTTCTTTATATGGTTATGCCAGTTGCTGATTTGGGGTCAGAAAGGAATTTTCCCCAAGTATGGGGACTGCTGAAAGCCTGTCAGGGCATTTTAATCTCCTCCTAATACCAGGAATGAGAATGACGGCAATGTCATTGGCCTCTCCTGCTCTGTCTCTGTGGCATACTGTAGTTTTCCCAGAGTTTACTTTCAATCTGCTAAAACTTTTCAATTCATGCCATGGCATTAAAATAAGTTTTGTGGGGTGTGCCCAGCATGAAATGGATGTTCAGGGATAACTCAGAATGAAAATTCAACAGTACAGCTACATGGTTTTCCAAGGCTCAACCCAAGGGACACCACGCTGCAAGGCTTGGGTCACTCTGTAAGAGGCATGAACTCTAGTGGTGGTTGTGCTGGAGGTACAAAGCCTTCTCCACAAGCCCATGCCTCTATAGAATGAACATAATCCATCTTCAATTGCAATAAATACAACTATGGAACCCCCCACACTGTCAATTTGCCATGGAAACGTAAGGATCTTAAAGAACATGGTTTCTAACCCATCTTTGGAGTTAACGTTGCAGCAAAACTGAGCAAATGAGAATTGTTTGAGAAGCAGGAAAACTAAACAGCATAACAGGTCATAAAATCACTAGATTAATAAACATAACAAAAAGGTAAGCACAAAAAAAAAAAAGACACAATTTGGGGTTTGGTGTGTGGGTCAGTAAAACACCTTAGAAATGCCTCAGGAAAAATCAGAATATTCTGTTTCCTGACTAAATATATTAGAATGTGAACAGCATTCAAATACTGCTTTCAGGTTTATTCTAGCTGAAAAGCATTCTTATTTCATCTAAATAATAATAAATGTAGTTATCTGAGATATTTAAAACAATAAAATGGAAAGTTTGTACAAAACGCAGAACTATATCACAATACTCTGTTAGGAAGAAGAATTCAATATTTATGGAGGTGACATAAATGTAACGAGAAAAGAGCACAAAGGAGAAATACTGATTATATTTATGGCTGTGCAGCGAGAGATGCAAAGCAAATGCAGGAAGATGTATTTGCTCTCGACTGAAAGCTATAGAGGAAATCGACTCACTAAAATAGCCATGCACTAAATTCATGGGGCTGCTTTTAATATGCATTCATGAAAATGGATAAAAAAGCCATTTCTGACAAGAATAATAATTTAACTCTAATTTATGCTACCCTTAAATCCATAGATTTTGCAGGAAAAAAAAATGATCTGTTTTTGAGAAGGCTGCTCCAATAAAGCATGGTCTGGGAGAGAACTGGCTTACAAGTGACATTGTGGAATTATTTCGTTATCTTCTCCTTAATGTAACTAAATATTCACTGGTACTTGTGTGCCTAAATACAGGCAAGATTTTCATTTGGAAGATGCATGTCTCTGATCATTCCTTAAATTACATTTTCCTTTCTCTTCTAGAAGGAACAGGCTCAAGGAAACAGTTTCTCTTTAGTGAACATGAGAACAAAGACAATTCTGGGAAACACAGCTTTTGGTTGTGGCAAACAGAAGCTGATTTCAGATACAAAATGGAAAAAAGAAAGAGTAAATTTTCTCAAAGAAACTGTTGTATACCATAAGACTTTTGGAAATCTTATCCTTAGAAAGAGATGGCATTTTTTACTATTCTATCTTCTCATGATTTTTACAGGAATAGTGATTTAGAAAGAGTTGCACTGATTCACAGTAGCTAAGAATCAGCTCCAGCAAGTCTGTGCACAATCACAAATTCAAAACTGTATTGCTGCCTTCGGCATTGAGCTAAATATCGATACAGAAAAGAAACAGGAAGGGCTACAAACCAAACAGTCCTTTTCTTCCTGCTTACAAACAGATAAGCATTTTCTCAATGAACCTTTAGAACAATTACATTCTGTTGCTAGACAAATATTGCTAACAGGAACACCTAACTTTTTAAAAGAATTTGTAAGAAATCACAAGCAAAGCTCCTATGAGTCCCTAACTCTTCTCCTCAATAAATAATTAAAAAAAAAAAGCAAACGAAAACCATGACACCATTGTGGTTTATGTGAACATACGGGGGTATTAAATTATAAGGAAATGAACTGTGTGTACTTTTGGAGGAGAAACTCACCACATAAAGAAATAAGAGTAAAGACAGAATTCAGGCCAAAATAGTTCATGCAGCGCAACACAAACACATGCACCAATCAGTCCCAGTGAATGTATTGAACATCTTGCCAAACAAAGGCAGAAATGTGCTGCACAGCCAGCTAGGTCTTGTTTAACACAAGATGGGGATCACAGGGAAGGCAATGAGGAGACCAGATTTAGAGCTGTTTAACAAAGCTGCCTTACCGTGCCAAGAGGCTTTTTTTCTCTTGCCCTTTAATATTTGTCAAATACAAGTGGAGTACACTCAGTTCGCTATTTAAAGATTTGTATCAGGCTGTAATTCTAAATAGAGAATGTGAAACATAGATGTCTTTGGGAAGAATGTTCTTCTTGAAACTTCTTTAGCCCAAGGTCTGTTTCTCACTAACTTCTGGCCCTGTACCAATTGCTGAAGAGCAGATGCGAAAGTTAAAGGTTCCTGTCAAATCAGTTCCACATCAGATACCGTGATGTCATCTGTTAGGACATCCAGGATTTATCTTAGTATTACACAGTTTTGTATAAAGAAAGCGGCCAGTCATTGCCACTGGCTTCGTCCCTTTGCATAGTTCCACCTGAAAGGAAAATGGGGGGAAAAAAGATTATTTCCACAATACAGGAATGAATGAACATGAAGAAATGATAGAATAGTGCTGGAGAAAAGGCTTCCTCCTACCAGGGGCGGGTTTTAACCGAATCAAATTAAAATTCGGTCAAAGCAGTGGAATTTTGAAAAGGAATCATCAGTTCACACATTTATTTAGACCTTTTAATGCGCCTTATTTGAAGCAATTCCTAGGATGCTGCTGGAATCAAAATCAGCAATATTCAATGAGTAGCCTCTGGAAAACCAGCACAAAGAATGATCTGTTTTCTGTGGCTATGTGTTTCCAGATTGATTAACTCTTGTGACGAAGAAAATCCCAGCTCTGTTTGAAATTCTTCCTGCTGCTTTGGCATTTATAAAAGTGGATTCTCCTTTGCTTTGTAAGTGGTGAATACATGGTGCCACTTTCTTACAATTAAAGCCCTAATGAGAATCTCTTTCACTTGGCCACCTGTTTTAGCAAAACATTTGGAGACCTAATTTCTAATTTCCCTAGAGGGTGACAAATTCAGTCAAGATTTGGGTGAAACAGATGTGAAAAATTAACTAAAGGAAAG